GGCGTTAGATATGGGCGGATGCGCGCTATGTTCTTGAGTTGGAAGCGACAGGATTTGGCTATCGATTGAACATGGGGAGTAAAAGAGAGATCAGAATCAAAAAGGACCCCTAGGCAGCGAGCCTGGGAGGTAGAGGTGATAGTAGCGCCGTTGACTTGGATGGCGACAGACACAGGAGTAGCAGCACTTGACACCTGCAAACTGGCACCTAACGCACGCTAATCTGCGGGCCCACAGAGCCATCCTTTGAGGAAACACCACCTCTAGGCACCCCTTAAGTGCAGGCTAACTACCAATGCTGTTTCTGTTCCCGCGAGCGGGCAAGAAAACCCCACGGACATCTGGGGCCTACCTCGACTTCCACACCGGGTGGTCCGCATCGGAGCTATCAGTCTGCACTGCTGACATATCAGGTACACCCCAGCCTCTGAACAGACCCCCTCTCCGTGAGGCCGACAACATGGGCAGGAGATCCCAAAGACCGCAACCGTTTGCACATAAAGACACCCAGGTCAGAACTGCCTTGCTACAGTGCACTGCAGCCTCCAAAATGGCGGCCTCGCCAGACTGCGGTTCTAGCCCGCACGGTTCAGATGACATAATGGAGGACCTAGAGGAATCTCACACACCCCGACCTCCTATAGCCAAACTTGGGGGACAGGAAAAGCTGGCCCCGGCAACAAAGCAGGTGGCAACAAAGCAGGTCATTGCTGACCTGCTGCAGGAGATGAGGAAGATGCATGCCGCAGACATAGACCTACTGCACACCGAAACGCAAGCAGTGACAGCTTGCACACAAGCCTCTGAGGAGGACATCCTAGACATGAGACAGGACGTAACAGGCTTAAAGGAAATGGTCCAACAGCTACTGACATCCCACTCTACCTTGACAACTAGAGTAGATCTGGCTGAAGAGCGTAACAGACGCACCAATTTTAAGCTAAGGGGCATCCCTGACTCCATCAACATGACCTAACTGCCCAACTACCTGTCACGGTTCTCGCCGCAGCAAACAGACGGCCAGACGTGGTCACCCATGGAGTTCCCAACAAGGGACTTGAACCGGGGAACTTCGCAGTCCTGGTCCTGCTTCCTTCCTCTGAGCCACAGCAGCTTTTGTATTTTTATGTCATTCTGGTCCTGTTCATCCTGGCATGTCTATTTCTCTGGGGGCTGTACCTTGACTTTGGCTGTGCTTCACCTGACCCTGATCAGACATTAGCAGGGTATTTAAACTCAGCCTCGCCCTGTGATCAGCATCAAGTCTTTGATCCTGTTGTGTGCTTTGTACTAGTGTTCCTGTTGTTTGAGCTGCTACTTGTTATTGACCCCGGCTTCTGACTACGTTTACTCTGACCTCTGGCATCCCTTGACTTCGGCTACTCCTCGTTGTTCCTGTCTTCTGGCATCCTTTGACCTCGGCTATCCTTTGACGATCCTGCTGTTTGAGTCCTTGCCTGTCCTGCGACTTGGTACTTCATCCTGCCCAGCCCCTGTGCACAGACCCACAGGCCGGGTGAATTCTTACCTGACCACCTTGGCCTGTGGCTATCTGCAAGGGTGAGCAACATATCTGCGCTACAGACTCCCAACCCAGGTAAGACCCTGACACTACCTCCGCCACCTCACTAACATGCTTCTCCCACACAGTCAGGCAAAGAAAATTGCATTTGACGGATTATTTCAAATGAAGAAGCCCAGGCAGGCACCAACCACAGCCTCTCAAGTTATCATTATACGTTGCCTATCCCTGAAGGACAAAAATCTTGTCCTAGACGCAGTTCAAGGAAAAACTCCAATTACCTTTAAATCATCCAAAATCTCCTTCTATCAGGATCTGACACGTAACACCTTATTGTGGCATCGGTCAATGAGCCCAGTGACACACCAGCTATGTAAATCCAGCATCGATTACAGATGGACAATTCCCAGAGCCCTAACAGTAAACAAAGAGGGCACCATACTGAGACTGTCCTCATTAGACGAAGTGGAGCTCTTCCTCCAAGCACTGGGGATTTCCCACAAATCCATGCAACCAGCAACCTCCTCAGCCTCACCTTACTGGGACCTAGAAAGGAAACGGCCCTTCATCTCCAGGGGTGGAGAAGAGAGAGGGGCACTAACTTGAATCACCTATGTGACTCAGGCATCCTATTATGTCTTCGTACCTTACTCAATAACCTTTATGTCTTTTTTAGTTTAACGCTGTTTTCTCTTTAGTTTTTAAGCTGTTTCATACATAAAATTCCCTGCAGCTCACCATTTGCTAGATAGGCAAAAATCTACTCTCACACAGTTTCCCCAACCACAGCGAGGGCCCTCAACAGCTGAGAAAGACACAAACTCTCAAACACACAGACCTTCTCCCCCTTCCCCCCTTATGGTTAGGAGTCGAGAACTTATGGTACTTCATCACACACAGGTCCCAGACACCCTCAACACAGTTCACGAACCAAAGCATGACACGGAACACAAGCAAACACCTTCTCTACACTCACACAACTAGGCTGATACCTTCAACGACTACCTACACTCATAGCATTACATTCTGGAGGGATGACCCACTAATTCAGGTGTACCCAAGACAGCCGCAGCCTGCCTAAAGCAGCTACAGGTTTGACCCCCCCCCCTTACAAAGCTATCCCGGTCACACACCTAGAGGGTACAGTCGAGGGATCAGTCCTGTGCACCTTACATGATATTACATACACACCAGACAATCATGTTGGGGCAGTTTAGGATCACCTCCCCACAATCCTAAGTTAAACCTCTCTGTTACAATTTTTCCTGCTGCCCAGTATCAGGCCACCTTCCACAAGGTTCCTTCTTGTTGCACCTCACATTAACTCGCTTAATATGCGTTCTAGGCAGTAACTAAATTGTGAGAAGAGAATTCATAGGTATAACCCTGTAAAGGCCTACAATGCCCTGAGCTCACGCATTGCTTACACTTACATCTGAAAGTCC